AGGGTGGGTCGGTGGGCCGGGTCTGGATGGTATGGGATGGGATATTATCAAGGTGAGGCAGGAGCAAGTTCTGACTCGGTTCGGTTCGGTCGGGAGAGCAGACGATGTTCACAAATTGACAGCATCTTTCCTCGATCTGGATCCGGACCTGAATAGAGGTGGTACGCGGTAAGAACGATGCTCGTCACAACATAATTCTCGGTTCACAGGTCCACGGAACAACATTGCTCAGTCGTTTGCGTTGCAGAACATACAAGTATTTCACTGGACAAATGCAAGATCAAACTTCCAGGTATTAACAAGCCTAACAAGAGACCAGCAAAGCAGCTCAAAAATAAGCCCTTGACACCTCAAAGCACCCTGAAAAAGTAGTTTCTGCCTGCCCCCCCTTGTCTAGGAACAAGATCCAGATTCCTGCCTGCCTGTACAGCTCAGGAGGATTCTCTGCTATACCCAGGTGTCCACAGCGGCGATTTTTTCGTATTCATTTGACATTCAGTACTAAAGAGAATTGGTTCAAACTGAGACTAGAGCAGGTAGAGGGAGGAGGCGACGGGGGCAAGAAACCAGGAAAGGGAGATATAATGATGTGGGGAGGGATGAACAAAATAGCTAGATAGAGGGGGAACTGGGAGAGTTAATACTGGCACAAGGACGGAAGGTGTTAGAGAGTTACAGGGTGTACCACAGGGGGGACGGAAGGAAAAGGCCAGGGATGAGGGGAGAAGGTTGGACGGGATAACTCCAGTGGAAGGTGACAGATATGCAGTGCGCCATTTCAAGTAGACAATGCGATAGAGAAACGTGGAGGAGGGAGGAAGAGGAATCGGAGGTGCTATCAGGAGAAATGGGTACATGCAATCTCCACTAATTATGTTCATACATTCGAAATATCACATTGGGGATTAAGCCGTTTATTAAGAGATCACAATAACAAAACAGAAAAGCCTCCCAACGTGAAGGGGAAAGTGACAAACCTAAAAATACAAAAAGGCGAATCTCGTTCTGCTGATTCGTAGCACATACTTCACCTTCAGAGCGTTAATGCACCTAAGCCTCGCCAGTTGCCTCTATTCACTCGTCAGCGGCAGGAGCAGCCTCAACAATCTCATCTACTACAGCGGGAGCCTGCACGGGAGCTGGCGCCAGTTCCGCCTCGAATTTCCGAACGTAAGACGAAAGCGGAGGGCCAGAATATGCCTGTTCTTGCGGAGCGGGGTCAGATCCACCGAGAGCGAAGAGCACGGCTGCTGCACCGGCCAGAGCAGCGGCAGCGCCGACAACGTTGAGGACCACGCCGGAGCTGCCGGAGCTACCCACGTAGACGGTAGGCTGCAGACAAAGCACATACATAGACAAAAGAGTATACATTAACTGGTGACACCGATAGCACAATTGCGGTCACTGATTTGGACCGGCTCTCTTCAATCCAGTGCCATCGACATTGCTCAAGAGTACTGGTTCCATTGCCATTGTCTAATTGTGATTCGTCGCCAAGCCTGAGAATGACAAAGCGTGCGCCTTTAATTCTCACCTCAACGGCGTAGATGTTCTCTTGGCCGGCAGTGTCCTTCTCCACATAGCCGGTGTAGTCGTTCCGGTTAGCACGCACAGTTACTCTCTGCAATTCCAGGTCAGATGTAACACAAGTGAGTTACAACACAATAAGCCTGAACTACAGCTATTCAACCTTGAAAATGCCAAGCGCCGGACTAAACTCTCTCCTGGAGTAACGACTATGATCAGGGAATGCAGAAGCTTACTCTTTGGGGAAATGACACGACAGCGGGCCCTTGTCGGAGGGAAGACACGTCGGCCTTCACGAGGGATCCAAGCGAGAGCTTGCACTGGAGAGAGGTAGCGGCCATGGCGTTTGAGTAAATGTTACGGTGTACGTGCGTAGACAAAGGATGGTAATGTGAAGGACACAGCTACGGGTAGACTGGACTACTTCGGACAGAGAAGTTCGGCAATGCGATATCAGAAATTCACTACCGTGCTGGTAAAAGAACCTGGGAAGAGAGTAGCCTTTATGTGTTCACCAAGTTGAAAGAATAAAGTATGTGAACTTCAGAAATATGATGACCGCCTAGAAATGAGCGACAGAAACAGGTGCAAGGAGATGAACATGCAATGGCAGGTGGCGCGACGCTGAGCTGTCAAGAACCACGTCACCCGATCTATTGAAGGGAAATAGACGGTTTGAGTGAGCCACCATGACCACGTGGCGGAAGCGAGTTCACCTCCAGGTGGCTGATCAGCCCTGTTAGTGACACAGCAGGAGCACGATGATTCGTGTTTGGCCTGTCCACGTTCCTTCCTGCGAAGGCTTCCCAGGTTTGAGGCAGTAGTTTTTCTCCGGCCAATTGGCGGCAACCGCGCTATATGCTATGAACTGCAAGTGAGTTGCCTCTGCTTCTTCCTACACGGCGATCCGATGTTCTGCTACATAGAAACCATACTGCTCTAGGACTCAGTTTGAGATAAGCAATATATGCTTATTTCAGGAAAGATGCAGAAAATTAATCATTTAGGTAATAAATATATGAATATAATTTTAATTAATATCTTTTTAAAGAACTCCACGCACCCACAGTCAGGGATGTGCAAATTAACATAAACCTATCATACGTGTACTGGAAATATGCATGTGGGGGAAACGCCCTTCACTATAAGAGTATTCACGTAGCATCCGTGAGGAGGGTGTTGGGGATTCTCCTCGTCCCATCCAACTGAAAGCTGCGAGAAGGCTGGTGTTACAGAAAGCTGCTGTGTCGTGACGTAATTCGGGACAGACCTTAGCGACAGACGCAGACCAGCTTTCAGGATGTTCGCAAATCGTACGACATACTGCATATTTTTCGCACTATCGCCCGCCTCCCAATCACTGCCTCACCACCTGCCCTTCCATGATGCGGGTGCACGCTGCAAAGGATTTCCCTGCAACCCGCTGGAGATAGAAATTGTAGGATCGCACGAACATAATATACAATGAACCCTTCCACCCAGTAGAAATCTGGTTGTACAGTTATGAACCTGGTTCCCAAACATTTTGAAGACCCAAAACTCAAAAGTCGTGAAGAGGTGACTTTCTACCTTGCAAGAGAGACACTTCGAACAAACCCCTGAAAAATGCTGAAAGAATATTCTCAGGATCAGCGCTTCGAGAACTGTTCACTGGGAACGACGATGCTTGTCCCCAAGCTGCTGCCCCCAACCACTCGTGCGGAACCAGCTCCTCCCCATCACCCCCTTCCCGCATTTCAACTCCCCCGTCCCCCGTCAGGTCGCCAGTTTCCTGGCCCACACCCTCACCGATGCCCTCCCCGCAAGCTCTCTTTTTCCCGCAACAGCGCAGAACAAAATCAGGCCCTCTCCGTACTACCGCAGGCTTTCTTCTCCCCTCGATCTTTCCGCCATTCTCGTCAACGGCGGAACCAACAGTAAGGCATTTCTGTCCTCGTCCTCCCAATCCAACCTAATCCTCAAAGCCCCCTAGAGTCACTCGACTCGACTGACAATTCGTCCCTGATTTTTTTTCCTTATGATTCGGAAGCTTCCGATACAATCCTTATTTTCCAGCCTCCTTACTCGTAACGTACATTGACCACGTCGCGTATCAGTACGAACCCTAACATTGTGAAGGGAGAGCACGTGAGTGTGCGTCCCGGGCCGATAATCTCGCTCCCCTGCCTTCAGTGTGTCGGTTAGAGACTATTTCGTGCCGACTCCTATCTAACAGGTACACTTTTGCGTGTGTCGCGAAGGCTTTATGATGCCGTGCGCTTTGCTGTATCGCCCTCATTGCCCCACTGATTCTTCGTCTTCCGCTTCATCGCAGTTCCATAGCTTCATCGAGCCCGGCTGTCGATTGCTTTCTTCTTTACTTGCTCCCTCCACTATCTTCGGAGCACTTTTCTCAGGTTTTTAGCCAGAAAAGGCTTTTCTATGAAGGCGCGGCGTACACTACCTTTCCCTCCCTGTCCCAGACCCTCTATATCCTTCGGAGGCAGCTCAAACTCACCTTCCGTCCCTGTCCCCGTGCGTCCGTTGCCCTCCTACAGGGAGCTTCATTCGTCGTACACCGCCTGTAGCTCGTGCACGCGTAAACGAAGACGCACTTAGCGGGGTCGCAGCACATTGGGGTTCATTCGCTTTTAGCCTGGATTAGTTTCTTCCGCCGCTCCCTGTTCGCACATTGTCTTGCCGGCTCGGCATTGCAGAATGCTGACACATCATCGTGACGATGCCACGTCATCATGACGGTGGCACGTGAGCACCGATGGCGATATGGACGGCACGTATCAGGCGCCCTTTCTTGCCTCGTTGCGGATTCAAGTCTCTCGTTCAAGTCTTTCGCGCAAAGCCCACCATTCGTTACTGCAGCATCATCAATCCCTTACAGTCACATCCGCGTTGATGTCAGTCTCCTGGCCCTAGATACTCGTTAAGTGAACCATTTAGGCTGCAGCGGCCTCGTTATGGAGTTATTAGGCTACGCTCGATGTCGACGTGCGTCACTCCGTTTAGGCTTTCGGTAGACGCAAGTCTTACTTTACTAATTCAGTAACAATCGCCATCTTGTCGTTAGCAGCAATTAGGGCAGCAGAGGTCCCAGCAGTCGGCAACGCCAGCAACAGCAGCAGCACGCAGCAGAAAGGCAGTATTTATTTCCACAGTTGGCCGGTTTCGATACAGGTAGCATCATCGTCGAAACCTTTTACATTTCACATCAGCATTGACAAAGCGTATAATAGCGCTTGCAAGCAGATAGTGTTTCAGCCAGGCCGAGCGCCGGGTTTCGATATAAGCACCAGACGAGGATGGGGGACGCGGACCAATCAGACAGTAGCGATACAGAGACGGAAAGGCCATGGTTCCCCGAGCCTCGAGTCAACGGGGCGAATCTCGCCGAGCCTATAGGCACGGTAGCACGTTCGGGACAGTTGGGGGCGCCTCTTGGGATTGCGCATTTGGCATTGGGCGCCGTAACGGCTGCCATGTCAGCATACAGCCCCGGAAAAACGGGGAAAGGGGAAGGGGACGGGCTGCCACGTGTCCGGATGCTGAGCTGTCTACATGCTCTGTTTACGCAATTGCATGACCCGGAACAAGTGGAAGAACCGGAAGGAGGTACGTGGAGTTGGGTTTGAGTGGTACGTTGAGTTAGGGTTACGAGATATGTGGTTAGGGGGAAGGATGAGGGGGAATGTGAAGTTAGGCTTAGGAGGGAGTGTGTGGAGTTAGGTTTAAAAGCTACCTGATTTAGGATTACAAGGTATGTTGAGTTAGGAATGGGACGAGTTGGTAAGGAGATACGTGGATTACGGGTTAGGAGATACGTGGAGTTAAGGTTATGGGGGTATGTGGAGAGTTGGCTTAGGAAGTAAGTACCTTCCCCCTCCCACCCGTATCCCCTACCCCCCCTCACCCAGGCACTCCCTCTCACTCCCTTCCCCCTCCTCCCTCCCACGCCCACAACACCCCTACACACAGAGAACGGGCGGGGCGGGGGGAGGTCGCAAATGGACAGCGCGGAACTGGACGTGCTGGAGAAGGCAGTGCGCATCCTGCACCTGCGCTACCGCTCCTTCCTGCGCCCCCCTCTCCCCTCCGTCCCCCGTTCCGCCCCAACACTTCTCACCCCCATTTCCCGTCCCCTATGAACCCCCCCTCCTTCCCCCCCTCACCCGCACCCCCTACCCCACGCTCCCGAGCACTCCCTCCCCCTCCCTTCCCCCTTCCCTCTCACTTCCATCCCCCATCCCCCCACACACAGAGAACGGGCGGGGCGGGGGGAGGTCGCAACTGGACAGCGCGGAATTAGACGTGCTGGAGAAGGCAGTGCGCATCCTGCACCTGCGCTACCGCTCCTGCCTGCGCCCGCTCACCAAGGGGCGCCTGCCCTCCGTCACTGAGTTGAAGGAGCTGAGAGTGAGCGCTGAGGCGCTGGGGGTGCGGTCTGCCTTGTTGTGCCTCGACAGAATACCCAAGGTTGGTTTCAGCCCCCCAATACACTGTCACAGTACATAGTACACAGCACACTATACCTGCACCTGCGCTACCGCTCCTGCCTGCGCCCGCTCACCAAGGGGTGCCTGCCCTCCGTCACTGAGTTAAAGGAGCTGAGAGTCAGCGCAGAGGCGCTGGGGGTGCGGTCTGCTCTCTTGTGCCTCGACAGAATACCCAAGGTTTGTTTCAGCGCCCCATTACACTGCACAGTACACAGCACATGGTACACAGTATCCTGCACCTGTGCTACCGCTCCTGCCTGCGCCCGCTCACCCTAAACCCTGCCCTCCGTCACTGAGTTAAAGGAGCTGAGTGTGAGCGCTGAGGCGCTGGGCGTGCGGTCTGCCTTGCTGTGCCTCGACAGAATACCCAAGGTGGGTTGCTGTCTGTCTGTGGTAGGAGCACCAAGTGCGCAGTACACACACACACACGCACAGCGCCCAATACACATCACTGCCTGCGCCTGTCACCAAGGGGCGCCTGCCCTCCGTGACTGAGTTAAAGGAGCTGAGAGTGAGCGCTGAGGCGCTGGGCGTGCGGTCTGCTCTTCTATGCCTCGACAGAATACCCAAGGTGGGTGGGTGGGTGGGTGGGTCCCGATCCCCCTGTGCTAACAGTACACAGAACGCAGAACCTGCACCCTCCACTAGGGGCGGCTACCCTCCGTCTCTGAGTTGAAGGAGCTGAGAGTCAGCGCTGAGGCGCTGGGGGTGCGGTCTGCCTTGTTGTTCCTCGACAGAATACCTAAGGTGGGTGGGTGGTTGGTTGGTTGGGTGGGTGGGCGGGTGGGGTTGGTGTGTCCTTTCCGCCCTCATGCTTATAGTCAGCGCTGAGGCGCTGGGCGTGCGGTCGGCACTGCTGTGCCTTGACAGAATACCCAAGGTGGGTGGGTGGGTGGGTGGGCCTCAATCTCTCCGTGATAACCGTACATGCACACAGTACATGCACACAGTACATGCACACAGTACATGCACACAGTACATGCACACAGTACATGCACACAGTACATGCACACAGTACATGCACACAGTACATGCACACAGTACATGCACACAGTACATGCACACAGTACATGCACACAGTACATGCACACAGTACATGCACACAGTACATGCACACAGTACATGCACACAGTACATGCACACAGTACATGCACACAGTACATGCACACAGTACATGCACACAGTACATGCACACAGTACATGCACACAGTACATGCACACAGTACATGCACACAGTACATGCACACAGTACATGCACACAGTACATGCACACAGTACATGCACACAGTACATGCACCTTCCCGTATCCATCTCCTTCCCTCCCTCCACGCCACCCCCTGCCATCCTCCCTCACCCGTTCCCACCCTCCCCCACACCCCTCCAAATCCTCCCCTCAGGGCGACCCCCGCCGTCTAGCTCTCTTTGCCTTCCGCACATTCGCCCTGCGCGCCGAGCTGGACGCAGAGGCTCTACGGGACCTGGATGAGCCTCCCCCAGGCAACGCCTGGCCTGTCTCCTCCTACCGAGTTGGCACCCCCAGGCTAAGAGCCCTCCTAGAAGACATGGTAGAAGAGGTGGAGAGTCTGTGGAACGCCACTAATAGGACCCTCTATGAGGTTGCTATCGTGCTCGCGCCGGTGTTGGCTCAGTATGCGTTGCTGGGGAAGGCGGTGGGGATGGCTATGGAGCAGTATTATGCGCGGCTGACTGTGCGGAAGCACGGGCGGGTGGTCATGGCGGTGGGGGATGAGATTATACTTTGGGACGATGGGTTGGAAGATGTTAGGGAGCTGTTTTTGGCTGAAAAGGCAGCAGATGAGCAGCCGTTAGGATCGGCTGTTAGGATCGACAGCATGAATGATTACTCGTGGTTTGTCTCTTGGAATGGGACTTCGGCAGTGGATAATATCCCGAGTGAAGTTTCAGTGAAGAAACTGCTGCACTCGATTGGGGCGCCGACGGCTAGGTTGGCGGGGTTGAGGGCGCGGGATAAGGGGCTGCTGATGGGAGTGACTGTACCGGATGTGAGAATAGAGGCGGAGAAACGGGTGCTGGCGCAGCTGCAATGGGTGGTGGACGGTGGAGGGAAGCTGGAGATTAAAGCCGCTCGGCTGCAGCACCAGGGGATAAGTGCTGGCGTGGGGGAGAGGGAGGTGATTGGGAGGGGGAAGAGAGCAGCGGGAGGGGGGGCAGGGGGAGGGGCGGCGGCAGCGGGTGGTGCGGGAGGGGCGGGGGGAGCAGGGGGAGCGGGCGGAGGAGGGGGAGCAGGGGGAGCGCTGGGGGGAGGAGGAGGGGGGGATGATAAGGCGCTGCTCAAGAGATCGTTTGCTAAGAGGCTCGAGTCTCTGGATTCGGGTAAGGCGGACCACGGATTTACAGATTCTGCTTTTGCTTCTAGTAGATTTCTTACGAGGATCTTGCAGAGGCCACAAAGAGCTGGTCGGAGGATCTGCAGCTGGGGGAGGGGAGGAGGGAGGAGGGAATGAGGCCTCTGCGAGCAGTGGTCTATGGAGGATCCCTCAACCTTGCCCTCACCACCCCCACATTCCCTCACAATCAGGAATAGATGAACCTGAACCGGCGCATGAGATTCCCTACGAGGATCTCGTGGAAGCCACCAAGAAATGGTCCGAGGACTTGCAGCTGGGGGAGGGAGGGGAGGGGGACTCTGCGTTGGTGTAGGAGGAACCGCTCTTAACCACTCTCTCTTCCCACACACTTTTTACCTTCCCTTGCCCCCACAGGCATGGATGAACCTGAACCGGCGCATGAGATTCCTTATGAGGATCTCGTAGAGGCAACCAAGAACTGGTCTGAGGATCTGCAGCTGGGGGAGGGGGGCTCCGCGGTTGTGTATAAGGGCGTGGGACCAGATGGGGAGCTGTGGGCTGTGAAGCGCGGGAAGAAGGGGGGACTCACGCGGCTGCAGGACTACCACAGGGAGGTGAGAGGGGTTGATGGGAATGGGAGGTGATCAGAGATGGATGCGATTGTGTATAAGGGTGTGGAACCGGATAGGAAGCTGTGGGCTGTGAAGCGCGGGAAGAAGGGCGGGCTGACGTGGCTGCAGGATTATCACAGAGGTGAGAATGGGTTGGGCCGGATGTAGAGCTTTGGGCAGTGAAGCAGTAGAGAGCGTGGGGCAGGATGGGGAGATATGGGTGGTGAGTTGAACCCGTTTCTAAGATGCTTCACCCCAGCCTCGTCCTCCGCTTCACTCCCTTCACTCCCCCCTTCACCCCAGCTCCCCCACTCCTCCTGACCCCAACTTTCCCCTCTCACCTCCCCTCCCCTCCCCTCAGATCGAGGCAGTTTCCAAGATGCTTCACCCGAACCTGGTGCGCCTGATGGGGTTCTGCCATGAGAACGACGAGCAGGTGTTGGTCTATGAGTATGTGGCCAACGGGACCCTCAGACAACATCTGTCCCCGTTACAAGGTGAGCCATTCCCGAGATAAGCATATATTCCCGTTATAAGCATACTCGTTACTGCCTCATGGGGTTCTGCCATGAGAACGACGAGCAGGTGTTGGTCTACGAGTATGTGGCCAATGGGACCCTCAGACAACATCTATCCCCCTTACAAGGTGAGCTGTTTCCGCTATAAGCGTATGTTCCGTTATAAGCATACTGTTACCACCACCTTTTTCCGCTATAAGCATATATTCCCGTTATAAGCATACTTGTTACCACCACCTGATGAGGCTCTGCCATGAGAACGACGAGCAGGTGTTGGTCTATGAGTATGTGGCCAACGGGACCCTCAGACAACATTTGTCCCCGTTACAAGGTGAGCTGTCTCTGTTATATGCTATATTTCCGTTATAAGCACACCTGTTATTGCCTGATGGGGTTCTGCCTGCCATGAGAACAACGAGCAGGTGTTGGTCTACAAGTGTGTGGCCCAATCCCCAAACCCATCACACACCTCCCCCCCCCCCCCCCCCCCCCCCCTGGTCTCCCCGTTTCCTCACCAGGTGACATGGAGAAGGGGATCGGTTGTTTGATCGGATAGAGGCAGCCGTGGGGTTGAGTGGGCTGCCCTCTCCCAAACCTCCTTTCCCCTCCCCCTTCCCCATCAGGAGACACGGAGAAGGGGGTTCTGTTGTTTGAGCAGCGGATAGAGGCGACTGTGAGAGTGTGTAGATCACACTTTTCCTTTCCCAACCCTCCCTTCAATTTCCCTTTTCCTCCCCTCCCCCTTCCCCTTACCAGGAGACACAGAGAAAGGTGTCCTCTCGTTTGAGCAGCGGATAGAGGCGGCGGTGGGGGTGGCTGAGGCGCTGCTGTACCTGCACTCGTGCAAACCCGTGTTGGTGCATCGAGACGTGAAGAGCCTCAACGTGTTCATGGATGACGATTTGCAGGTGAGTGGGGGAGAGAGAGAGTGAGTGTGTGAGGGAGATATGGAATGCAAGAGAGAGAGCGTGAAGAAGTGAGGGAGAGAGAGGAGGATTGTGTGAGAAAGCAGCTATCTGTGCCAATTATTCCATCACACTCTCTTCTACTATCACCCACACCCATCTCTCCTCCATCGCCTCCTGTCTTTTCTCTCTCCCACTCTGCCAGCCAAAGCTCGGGGATTATGGCAATCTCAAGTCGATAGGCGACAGTGAAAGCACCACCACACACACACACCCCCGCAACCTGTTTTATTCTCCTTCATCTTCTCCCATCTTTCCTCTCACCACTCTGCCAGCCGAAGCTCGGAGACTACGGCAACCTCAAGTCGATAGGCGACGATGAAACGGCCACCACACACACCCGCGTGGTGGGGACACCCGGGTATCTGGACCCGCAGTACTGCCAGACGAGCTCGGTGTCTGTGTGGAGTGATGTGTACAGGTGAGGGCGGGAGGATGGGCTGGGAGGAATGAGGGAGAGAGCAGTCGTTATTGTGGAGTGATGTGTACAGGTGAGGGCGGGAGGATGGGCTGGGAGGAATGAGGGAGAGAGCAGTCGTTATTGTGGAGTGATGTGTACAGGTGAGGGTGGGAGGATGGGCTGGGAGGAATGAGGGAGAGAGCAGTCGTTATTGTGGAGTGATGTGTACAGGTGAGGGTGGGAGGATGGGCTGGGAGGAATGAGGGAGAGAGCAGTCGTTATTGTGGAGTGATGTGTACAGGTGAGGGTGGGAGGATGGGCTGGGAGGAATGAGGGAGAGAGCAGTCGTTATTGTGGAGTGATGTGTACAGGTGAGGGTGGGAGGATGGGCTGGGAGGAATGAGGGAGAGAGCAGTCGTTATTGTGGAGTGATGTGTACAGGTGAGGGTGGGAGGATGGGCTGGGAGGAATGAGGGAGAGAGCAGTCGTTATTGTGGAGTGATGTGTACAGGTGAGGGTGGGAGGATGGGCTGGGAGGAATGAGGGAGAGAGCAGTCGTTATTGTGGAGTGATGTGTACAGGTGAGGGTGGGAGGATGGGCTGGGAGGAATGAGGGAGAGAGCAGTCGTTATTGTGGAGTGATGTGTACAGGTGAGGGTGGGGGTGGCGAGAGGGAAGGTAAGAAGGAACACTGGAGCCGAGCTCAGCACAGCCAAGCCCCTGGTGCTCAAGGAGGCAGTTTCACCACTCTCACCTATCTTGTTTCTTCCCCCCTCCTCCCTTCACTTCCCCTTACCCATACCTCTCAGTTTCGGAGTGGTCATGCTCGAGCTCATCACAGCCAAGCCCCTGGTGCTCAAGGAGGTACCTTCAGTGCTCTCACTTTTCTCATCTTCTCTCTCTCTTCCCCTGCTCCCTCCCTGTCTTTCGGGCCTCTCAGTTTCGGAGTGGTCATGCTAGAGCTCATCACAGCCAAGCCGCCAGTGCTCAAGGAGGCAGACGACTCGGGGGAGAGAATGGCGCTCGCCAAATGGGTGAGTGCATGAATGCGCTAGTAACTAGTGACTGGTTCCAAAGAAGCCTCTCACCCATGATTGCACTAGTTATGTGTCCCCAGGCCTGGTTTTCCACTCCTTTCCCCTCCATCCCATGCTTCCCTTTCCAATCCATCTTCTCCCTGCCCTGCCATCTGTGTCAGCAACCTGGACGCAGTCGTCGTTCCCAATCTCGCACAGGCCTTCCCGCAGCAGCCCATGCAGGCATTTCCCCAGGCCTGAATCTCTCCCACTCTTTCTTCCCTTTCACCTCCCTTCCCCTCTCCTCCACCCCAGGCCACCCCTGCCACCTGTGCCTGATTTTCCACTCTTTTCCCCTCCACCCCGTGCTTCTCTTTCCAATCCATCTTCTCCCTTCCGTCCCCAGGCCACACCTGCCATCTGTGCCGGCAACCTAGACGCAGTGGTCGACCCAAATCTAGCCCAGGCGTTCCCCCAGCAGCCCATGCAGGCATTCGCCAGCCTGGCAGCCATGTGTGTTTCCCCAGGCCTAATTGCTTCCACTCATTTGTCCCTTTGTCTCTCCGTCCCCCGTCTCCGTCCCCTCTCCATGCATCCTCAGGCCACACCTGCCATCTGTGCCGGCAACCTAGACGCAGTAGTCGACCCCAACCTCGCCCAGGCGTTTCCCCAGCAGCCCATGCACGCATTCGCGAGCCTGGCAACCATGTGTTTCCCAGGCCTCATTCTTCCCCATTCCTTCTCTCCTTCCCCCTCCTTTTCCCTGCTTCCCTAACAGGCCACCCCTGCCATATGTGCCGGCAACCTAGACGCAGTAGTCGATCCCAACCTCGCGCAGGCGTTCCCCCAGCAGCCCATGCAGGCATTCGCCAGCCTGGCAGCCATGTGTGTGCAGCGGCAGCCCAAGGACAGACCCAGCATGCAGGAGGTGGTTAGAAGGCTCAAGGTCATTCGCCAGGCAGCAGCAGGTGCGTTCGTCGCGGTTGTGTGCGGTGGAATGTGGTGCGGTGCAGTGCTGTGTGGTACGGTGCGGTGCAGTGCAGTTCTGTGAGGCTGGCAGCCTGGCAGCCATGTGTGTGCAGCGGCAGCCTAAAGACAGACCCAGCATACAGGAGGTGGTTAGAAGACTCAAGGTCATTCGCCAGGCAGCCGCAGGTGGGTTCTGGGCTGTGCTGTGCGGTGCAATGCAGTGCAGTTCTGTGAGGCTGGCAGCCTGGCAGCCATGTGTGTGCAGCGGCAGCCTAAAGACAGACCCAGCATGCAGGAGGTGGTTAGAAGGCTCAAGGTCATTCGCCAGGCAGCAGCAGGTGCGTTTTTAGCGGTTCTGTGTGGTGCTGAGTGGTAGGTACAGTGCGATGCGGTGCAATGAGCATGTGTGTGCAGCGGCAGGCCAAGGACCCAATCAAGAACGCAGGAGGTGGTGTGAAGACCCAAGCTTTCCTCGGTCGAAAATTGCAAGGACCCAAGCCTTCATCAACTTGCAAGGACCCAATCAAGCACGCAGGAGGTGGTGTGAAGACCCAAGCTTTCCTCGGTCGAAAATTGCAAGGACCCAAGCCTTCATCAACTTGCAAGGACCCAATCAAGCACGCAGGAGGTGGTGTGAAGACCCAAGCTTTCCTCGGTCGAAAATTGCAAGGACCCAAGCCTTCATCAACTTGCAAGGACCCAATCAAGCACGCAGGAGGTGGTGTGAAGACCCAAGCTTTCCTCGGTCGAAAATTGCAAGGACCCAAGCCTTCATCAACTTGCAAGGACCCAATCAAGCACGCAGGAGGTGGTGTGAAGACCCAAGCTTTCCTCGGTCGAAAATTGCAAGGACCCAAGCCTTCATCAACTTGCAAGGACCCAATCAAGCACGCAGGAGGTGGTGCGAAGACCCAAGCTTTCCTCTCGTCGGGCCTGTCTATGTCAGAGATTGGGACCCAACTCTTTCTCCAATCTATGTCGCCTGTCCCACTGCTATCCCACTCACGCTCCTCACTTGCCGTTTCTGCTCTCCTCCCCTCCCCTTCCCCCCTCCTTTCCCTGACATTCCACCCTCCCCTTCCCCCCCATGCAGCTGCATCAGTCTCCTCCCCACCACCCATCAACACTCGCTCCAACCCATCCATGCAGCAAATTCTCCCCCCAAGCCCTCCTCTATCTCACTCCCACTTTCCTCTCTTCCCCTTTCCCCCATCCCTCTCCCCCTTGCAGCTGCATCGGTCTCCTCTCCCCACCGCCCATCAACACGCGCTCCAACCCATCAATGCAACGCATCCTTCCCCCCAAGCCCGGCAGCAGGGGCTCCTGGCAGGACAACCAGCACCTATCTCACTCTCCTCTCTTCCCATTTCTTGTTTCCTTTCTGTTTTCCTCCTGATCTCCGATCCCTCTATCCTTCTCCCTTTCCCTTCCTGCTCCTCCTCGTTCCCCTTGCAGCTGCATCAGTCTCCTCCCCACCGCCCATCAACACTCGCTCCAACCCATCAGTGCAACGCATCCTTCCCCCCAAGCCCGGCAGCCGGGGCTCCTGGCGAGATGACCAGCACATATCTCACTCTCCTCCCTTCCCCTTTCCTTTTTCCTTTCTGTTTTCCTCCTGATCCCCGATCCCTCTATCCTTCTCCCTTTCCCCCCGTGCCGCAGCATCAGTCTCCTCCCCACCGCCCATCAACACTCGCTCCAACCCATCAGTGCAACGCATCCTTCCCCCCAAGCCCGGCAGCAGGGGCTCCTGGCGAGACAACCAGCACCTCACTCCGCCCATGTCGCCCCTCCTCCCCTCCACACCCGAACCCTCCTCCTACTCTCCCCGCGCCGCTGCCGCTGCCGGCGGCGGTGGCGGCGGCGGGATGAAAGTGTTTAACAAAGAGTTTTGGCGGCCTAGAAGGGCCCCTGCGAGGAGCCTAAGTGACGCATCTATGCAGGAGATTACTGATTTGTTAGAGGAGGAGGAGGGGATGGGTGGGTATGGTGGAGGGAATGATGGTTTCGGAGGGGGAGGAGGTGGGGGCGGAGGGGGAGGAGGGGGAGGAGGAGGCGGCGGAGGGGGAGGGGGAGGGCTTGACATGCTATCTCCGAGGTTACCCACTTCAAAAACGGTCAATTCTGCATATTACTCTCAGGAACACCAGCCTTCAAGGCACCGCCTCAGTCAGACGCAACAAGACAAGCAGCAGCAGCAGCAGCAGCAGTCGCAGCAGCTATCTCAGCAGCAGCTACCACCACAGCACCACCACACCTCCCATTTCGCCCAATCTCCACAGCCCTCCACTCTACCTGCCTTCATGTCCACCATTCCCAAGTCAAAATCGGCTGATGTGCCGGGTGCGGCAGCAGCAGCAGGGGGAGGAGGGGGAGGAGCAGCACATGCGAATGCGCATGTGCATGCGAGAACGAACTCGATGGTGTCGCAAGGGGGTGCGGGGGGTTCTGTGCCGGCGGCACAGGCGGAGTCGAGCAGAGGACGCATGTATGGGCTGGGGCGGAAAGGCAAGATGGTGAGTGCTGCTGCTGCTGCTTTGATCCCTATGGGTAGCGTGGTGAGGAATGGGTGCTTGTGCGAGTGTGTAAAGGGAAGTGAGAAGCGAGCAGAGGGCGCATGTATGGGCTGGGGCGGAAAGGCAAGATGGTGAGTGGTGCTGATTTGATGCCTGGCATGGTGCATACACTCACCACCGAGAATGCTTATATGATAAACTCAAAAGACGATTGCAACCACCACACTTCCAAGAAAACGATTGATGAGTAAAATCAAAGAGCAATAGCAAGCACCGCAACTTACTAAAAAGTTGGAGCTTTTCCCTCGCAATTCCCAAATTTTCCATGTTTCCTCGTGCAGCACAAGGAGATGGCTGTGCTAGCTAAGCTACAGGACACGAATCTGGTAGCCATTTAGTGTCATGCAGCAGACAAGGAGGACATGCAGATCACTCGTTTCTGTTCCCCCTAATCATCCGCCCCCTCTCCCCTCTGCTCCCACCACTTGTTTCCCCCTTTGGTTTACTGCAGCAAAAGGAGATGGCGGCACTGGCGAAGCTACAAAACACAAACCTAGCTGCCATTCTTGGATATGCAGCAGATAAGGAGGACATGCAGATTGCCTACGACCTGCCTCCCAACTGCACATGCCTTGAGAACTACCTCTTCCCAGGTATGTGCTGTATAAATGCACAAATATAGAGTGATATGATAACATTTTATAGGAGGATATGCAAATCGCGTTTGACCTGCTTCCCAACTGCACTTTCTTCGAGAGCTACCTCTTCCCAGGTACGCTGTGCTGTTAGCAATTACTGTTGCGAGTGTGGCTCAAGGTGGCAATGGGAATCGCCAAGGGGCTCACCTTCCTGTCTAACGTCATCTCGCCTCTTCCCTCCCTTTCACTTTCTACTCTCACGATCTCTTTATCACCAGAGGACGCGGAGGGCGAGTTCCTGCCGCTGAGAGTGCGCCTCAAGGTGGCAGTGGGTATCGCCAAGGGGCTGACCTTCTTGCATGCTTTCTCTCTCACCCCATCTCACCTTTTTCACTCCCACGATTTCCACTTCTCCCCTTCTTTCAGAGGACGCAGAGGGTGAATTTCTGCCCCTGAGAGTGCGGCTCAAGGTGGCAGTGGGAATCGCCAAGGGGCTGACCTTCCTGCACTCGAGTGCAGTGGTGCATGGCAACCTTCTCTCAAGAAACATCATGTTGGATAAGGTGAGAGTTCAGTGAAAGTTCGTAGGCTTGGCCTAGATGGGATGAACGTTCAGTGAAAGTTTCTAGGGTTGGCTGTGGCTGTGAGTGTACCTCTTCATCGTTCCGTCCTCATCCTCTTTATCTCCCTTTCCTGCTGTCGTTATTCTGCTGTCCCTCCCTCCTCTGCTGGCAGAACTTTACGGTACTTCTGACGGGCTATGGCCTCGCAACTATGCTGTCCAAGACGAGCACACGCAAGAATCTCAAAGGTACGAACAGACCCAGAATTGTGCTCACTCTTGGGCCAGGGTCACAAGATGGGATGGTAAGGAGTTGGGCCTGTTGATCAAGGAGTGCTGTTGTGGAGCCCACACACGCACCCACCACACCTCCGCCTCTCTCGCTGCCCCTGCCCTTCTCCCTGCGCCTGAATCTCAGAGCTGCTGCCACTCAAGCCCTCTCCATATCATCCCACTTGTCCATACCCTCTTTCCCCCCCAGGCCCGGACGGCATGGCAAAGGATGCATTCGACTACGGCGTTGTTTTATTCGAGCTGCTGACGGGCCGCAGGGGGGCACTGGTGGCGGACAGGGAGGGTGCGGACGGGCTGATCGCGTGGGCAGAGCCGCGCATCGAGGAGTACGAGCTCAGCGCTGCTTGCGCCGAGCCCACCAAGCGCATGGTGGTGCGCATGTTGGATGTGCTGGCGAAGGAATGCGTTCAGGAGGACCCCAGATGCCGACCCACAATGAAAGATTTGGTTGTGAGACTATACAGCCTGCAGGAGTCCCTGGCGTCACAGTGAGGGGTGTGTAGTAGGGAGTGGGTGGCAGGGGGGAAGAGGCGGGTGCGGGAAGGAGGAGGGGAGGGGGAAGAGCGCATGGTGGTGCGGATGCTGGATGTGTGCTGGCCAAGGGAGTGCGTTCAGGAGGACCTCGGATGCCGACCCACCAAGAAGGACTTAGTCGTGAGACTATACAGTCTCCAAGAATCACTGGCATCGCAATGAGGGGTGTAAAGGTGTATTTATGGAGCGGAGTGGTTCGGGTGCTGCAATTGCGAGCCAGTTGCTTTGGACCACGGAAAGAAGGGCGGTGCTAAAGCTTTTGAGACGTCGTCAACTGGTCGGGATTGAGGTCTCAGCAGTTGGAAAGCTGTGGTGGGCAGGAGGTCTAGGAAAAGGGGGAAGAGGGGGCTGTTTGAACTCCCACTGAACTCCCACTGAACTCCCACTGAACTCCCACTGAACTCCCACTGAACTCCCACTGGAATGGTTTCAGCAGCTGGTCTCGCAGGTGAAAGGCAGCAGCAGCGGCTGTTGCTGACGATGCTGCTCGTTTTGTAGGCGGGAGTAGGCAGGAGAGGGGGCTGTTACCACTCCCTCTGGGAGGAGAAGGGAAGAAAGGGAGCAACAGCTGGTTTTGGAGGAGAAAGGGAGCAGCAGTGACTGCTGCTTGTCATGCTGGTTGCAGGAAGAAGTGGGGAAACAGAGGCTGATGTAAAAACGTACTGCTGTGGTGTAACAGAATCCGGTACTCAAAACTGATGTTTAGGGCAGTTCAGAGCAGATACGAGAGGGAGTGGGGCGGGAAAAGAGCAGGTGGGTGCGATTTAGGAGTCGACTTGAACATTACATGTGGCAGTCTGGAGTGGTTTGGAGCGGTATTGGGGCAGTACCGTAAGTGGGCAGCTGGTAGCAGCAAGGGGATGGAGTTGGAGTGCCGCTCAAAGATTCGGTTTTGGTGGTGATGCTGCGTGCATTAGTAAAGCCTGGTAACACACCTGTCACCAACACACTTGTACGGTACCAGCTCAGCACGTCTGCTGAATCAAGGCGTGTTCTAATTTAAGGGGACTTACTGGTAACACATGGGTTCCCGGTAAACGTACGAGAGTTCTTCTTCAGTAGAAACCAATGGGGGGCTACCAACCAGGTGGGTGATACTGGGGCCAGGAAGTGAAAATTAGTTTTCATCTGGTGGGTGATTTGCGGCCGTTGCTAGGCTTGCTAACAGAAGGTCGGTTCTTGATTTGAGTAACTTGTTTACTGAATGAACGCACACTGCTGAGAGCAGTTCTCTGCTGTGGACCTGCAGAGAGAAAATCCATGTGGTATCAACCAAGCCTTTTTTTTAGGGTGGTTTGAAAACAAGCATCATTTAAGGACATGAATGGATGTGCCATCGGAAATCACTTTCATGGCTAAAAATCGGTCTATGATGTTGTTAAGCATCGCTTAGATAACATCGTAAAAATATGGATTCAATCGCACAGGTTCTTTCCGCGTACATGATTGACAGCGGCCAGAGCTGCTGTGGGTTTTGTGGAGCCTTTCAACCAGACCGAACCTAACCGAACCACCATTTGCTCCCGCTTCATCTTGAAAATATCCCATGCAATCCCCATCTGCTCCATCCGTCCGATAATCACATCTCAACTCATCACAGTCTCTTCTTCACTAAGGGCGTGTTACATTTTTTACCTTTTTCGTCCGGATGGCCAACTGTCCGGACGATTATGTGGTTACGGGAATCGTTAGATTTCGACAGAACGTTCGTCAGGGTATAAACGACGTCGTAAGCTTCGTCTGGCCTACTTGCGGCATCGCATTGGTCGCAACGCGACCGCGCGACGTCGTAATCTTCGCACGCGTCCGGACAAATGCCCGGACTTTCGGCGATCTTAAAAAATGTAACACGCCCTAATGATACATGGGTTATCAGTCGGCCTCCAGAATCCTGAGCCTAGGTAACCCTTGTTAGAACGTTTCATCCGGTGCAATGTCGATCTCTGAATCGGAATCTCGCACGCATATTAACAGTCTTCCTGACGACATCCTCGTCACGATCCTACGGCGTTCCAGGGAGCCTACATTTCGCGATACCGACCACGATGATTCACAGGAGTTTCGGTTGCAAGAAAGGCATTTGATGTACTTCGTTGATAGGGATCAATTCTATGAGACTTCGACTCCAATTAGGCGTCCTCCGGCCTTCTCAGATGCAGCATGGCAACTTCTGATAGCATCTGTCTGCACTCGATGGCGCTCTCTCGCTCGGCGTCACGTATCCCAGCTACTAGTCAGAGGCTATTTGAATGTCTCCCGTCAAGACCTCACAAACGCAATCGCGTACTTCCCGAGGCTGACCCATCTTCACCTGTGCTACAGGAGCCTGGAGACTATCGACGATTCTTTTCTCATGCGTCTCGCCACGTCATGCCCGAATCTGACCTCTCTCCACGTGGCGGAAGGAATCACACAACGCCAGTACGATCCGAGAAAGGAGCTGCACCCAGTGACTGATGCTGGCCTGGATAAGTTTTTTCGGCATTGCGATCAGCTGGAGCAGCTTTCCCTGTTCTGCCTTCATCGAGATGTCAAGCTGCCAGCTTCCCTCTTTCAACTGACTCGGCTGCAAGTTCTTGTTCTACCAGATGCTTCCGCACTCGACGATCCTGATTTCGCTAACCTCACTTCTCTCACCACGCTCTGGATTACCTCTCAGGAGTTGAAATTCCAGCGGCTCGCGTCACTCGTTCATCTTCCGAGACTCACCAGCCTGACGGTTCCTGAAGGAGACCGTATGGTTTTTAGTGATCTGGATCCGGCAGTTTTCTTCATCGCCCAGCTATCCTGTTTGAGATCTCTAAGAATCAGCCACGACTGTCCTCAGTTTGACGTTCTGTTTCCTGCAGGATCGCCTTGCAGCAGCCTGGAACGATTGCTTATTGCCCGTTCGGAGCTCCTAGAGAACATTTCGGACAACATTGTCGATCTGCTGCCGAATCTTCGTGAGCTGAGCATTCAATCCTGCAGTAACATCAGCGAGCTGCCCGAGAGCCTTGTTTTGCTGAGCTCTTTGGAGTCCCTATCGCTTTCCGGCCTCAGCCAAGGGTTCAACCTGCCTGAGAATATTGGAGAGCTGCCTAAAATAAAAAGGATGGTGCTGCAGTGGTTGGATTTGTCGTATCTTCCTGACTCCTTCTGCCTCCTCTCATCCGTAGAGGAGCTATTCGTTATTGGTTGCCGACAACTACATATTCTTCCATCAGGCTTCGCCAACCTCACAGCTCTGAAGATGCTGTGCTTTGAGAAGCTACGGGAGTTCATGCTACCTGAAGACATAGGAATGCTCACCAATCTTCAAGATCTGCGCCTGGACTGCTTGTACCCGCAGCGCCATCTTCCATCCTCGTTCACGCAGCTGACTTCCCTGACGCGGCTCGACCTGCAAGCTTTTGTCCATGAGCTTCCTGAACGTTTGGAGAGTCTAAGGAACCTTCAGCAGCTGCACATTAGTGGGTACGCGATCAGGGAGCTTCCAGAATCCATTACATGTCTCATCAACCTAGAATGCCTGACAGTTTCTTCTTGGCAGCTCACGTCAGTACCCAAGAGGATGGATGCCCTCACGAGGCTCAAACGGCTGGATCTAAGCGGATGTAAGAAGCTGATTGGACCTCCTGAGTTCCTTCCACCGTCGCTTGAGATTTTGAGGGGGGGATTAAGCCTGAGGAGAAGCCAGGTGGCACGGCTGCCAGACGTTTCAAAGTTGACAAGGCTTATGGCCTTGGATGTGAACATGGTTACTGTTGGGCGTGCGCTGAAGGTTGGTAGAAGCTTCTCCCAGCTGCAGCATTTGGAACTCAGTTTGGCTAAAAAAGCCAAGAAGCTCCCTTTTCCTTTGACCTTTCTAAATGGGCTGCGCACTTTGATTATCAACTGTGCTGGATTGCTGAGGGAGCTACGGATAGACATTGGATCAGCTTGGCCCTTGCTGCAGGATTTCATGATTTTTGGTGTGGAGGAACTGAAAGAGCTGCCATCAAGTACTGCCATCAAGTATTGTACAGCTGAAGCACTTGACTTCCTTGCGGGTTTCTGCGCCGAAGCTGACTTCTCTTCCTGATTCCGTTGGTGCCTTATCCAGGCTCCGAAAGCTTGACCTGGGCGGTTGCTCTTCTTTGGAACATTTGCCTGTATCTACAGCGCAGCTCTCCTGCTTGAACGATCTGGGTATTTCGAGCACCTCTATTCGATCTCTTCCACCTGGATTCGCGCAGCTGACCAGGCTGAAGAGTCTGGCCATCCATAAATGTGAGCAGCTAGCTCTGCCGGAAGAGCTTTCGCAGCTCAAGATGCTGGGCACATTGGAGATCACTAGGGGACGTTCTGATGACCCTTCTCCTGCCATCCTTGGCATGTATGGTCTGCGGCTGGTAGAGCGTCTTGCTTGATGTGGCTGTGGTTCTTTGGAAGGTTATAACAAATGCGTCTGTCTAAGAAACTGCTGCTGAAAAATGCAGTGGACAAGCCCAAGAAACTGTTACAGTGCAACACTCATGGTGACGGGCATAGAGTTGCAGCAAGTACTGTAATCACAGTAGAGCCTAGAGGGACACACACAGCTCAGTTACTGTACTACGGTACTTGTTGCATGCACGAAACTAGCATCAAACTAGGTAAGGTAAGGCATTTACGAATGTTCAACACATAAAGCAGCTACAGTGCAAATCTCATGATGGCGACATTTGGTACCCAAGCGGAGCAGGTCGTGGTTTGTGAGGTACCTCGAAGCTCTAAAAATACAATTGCAGCACTAATAAATGCAACATCATGTGTAGTATGCAGGACACCTGCAGTGCAACGCTCATGGTAATTGGACACGTGGTTGGAGGTCGTGGGCTTCTCATGGCAGTCAGCTCGAATGTGTATTTCTTAAAACACGCCTTATAGTGCAGCTACGCAGCTTCAGTACAACACTGAGCGCAAATCTCAGCTACAGTGCAACGCTCATGGTGATG